GAACATTGGGAGAATGTGGTGCCCTGTGCAATCCCAGGAAGAGGACAGCTCCGGAGACCGCTGTACAGCTATGTCGTGGGAGTGGGGGCGATCTGCAGCAACCGCTTCACAAGATGTCTGTCCTTTATTGTTCTGGGTGTGGTTTCTGTGACTGTGTCTTAATGGCTGGGATTTCCAAGGAGTGGGATTTTTGGCTTCACTGTAAGAGTTGGTCCACCAGGAGTGAGCAAGTCCTGTTCTGCTGCTGACAAGTGTGTCTCTAGAGCTTGGAGTGTGTATTATAAGCCTAGAGATCAATGGTGAGGTGGTTACAGTGGTCAGCAGGCTATTGCTATTGATGATTTTTATGGGTGAATTCCATAGGATGAGAGTTAGATCTTATGGTTAGGGATCCTCATTAAGTGCCCACATAGGGTGCTTTTTCTGAGTTTCATATTAAATATTTTTTTTATTACCTCTAATAACCCTCCTTGTACTTGATATTCCAATGAGCAGTGCATTACAACATTGCTTGCATCTTACCCCTGCGTTGATGAGGATTTGAGAAAAGAAAATGTTGTCAGTGCTTCCACAAATTGTACACTGGAACAGCCAAATAATAAAATTTTATTTTTGACACAAAGTAAGAAGTATCCTGCTGGGATTCTTAGTTTAAGCCAGAGTAGAAGGCCCTCTTTTGGTACTGGTAAAGAGTACCATAGACCTTCCTAGGGAACATTATCAGATTCTATTGGAAACTTGGTCTTTGTTATTGTGGAAGAATCAGGAGTTGACCAGTTATTTGTCTCCTGTTTCATTTTCCATAAAGAGTTCCTCAATATTTGGTTTCAAACCTCTACCATTGTGAAGTCATCCCAACTTCGACAGCAGCTTCCCCTTCTATGCCAAGCGTTTGTTTGAGTCAAGACAAAGTGAATTGTGGGTAAGTGGGAGACTCTAGGGTAAGAATCGATAGGGAGTTACTGAGATCTTAAATTCTTTTTTTTAAGATTTTTATTTACTTAACAGAGATCACAAGTAGGCAGAGAGGCAGGCAGAGAGAGAGGAAGGGAAGCAGGCTCCCCGCTGAGCAGAGAGCCCCATATGGGGCTTGATTCCAGGACCCTGAGATTATGACCTGAGCCGAAGGCAGAGACTTTAACCCACTGAGCCACCCAGGCACCCGAGATCTTAAATTCTAAACAAGCTCCTGATGCCCAGATGAAATACATTTCAGATTTAGAAAGTTCAGATGAAACTTTGTGTCCATGATGACAACGGAAGAAAATGTGTCATCCCTAAACCTAACCTTAATCCCTATCTTGAATGCTCCAACCTAACTACTGACCTTAAAGCCCAAACTGGAACCCTGAATCCCAAACCTGAAATTGAACCTGAAACTTGGACTCTGAACATGAGCCCTGGATCCATGCCCTGAACCCAAACCCTAAACCAGAACTCTGAGCCATGAACCCTGAACCCAAATCCCAGCATGAACCCAAACCCCAAATTTGACCTTGAACTTTATCACAGAAGTCCCGAGTCTTAAACCCTAAATCATAAACCTAAAGCCCTAAACTCTGTTCCCTTGCCCCTCCACTGCAAATCCTTACCCTTACCCTAAACCCAAAGCCTGATCCAGAACCCTGATTGAAACCTGAACCTGAATCCAAATTCAAACCCTTTACCACACTTTGCTTATGCATTCACCACTGATGGATATTTGCAGTTTCTACCTTTTGATTCTTGTGAACACTGTTTGGGTTGGGTGCTAGGGTTAGGTTCAGGGCCAAGCTTGAAAGCAACTTGAGGTCAGTGTGAGTCTGTGTCAGGACCAGGGTCATGTTTGTTGCCACTGTTTGGTGCAGGGACTGTTTTCATTCCATTTTGTTTCCAATTCACTGTTCCTTAGGTAATTTTGGAGAAGTTGGGGAATATTGGGCTCCATGCAGCTTGAATTTCCAGAATGAAATGGCTTCAGCTGGACCATGGGAGGGAGCAGGTGCTTCCACTGAAGGGTGAGCTCCCCTTGTCCTGCACTTGCCTCCATTGCCTGCATAAGGCGCAGGACCCCAGCTCCCACCCTGAGCCTGGCCTGTGCAGCTGCAGCTGGGACAGGAGCCCAGCTTCCTCAGGATCTGCGGTGGAGACTTCTGGAGGATGTGGGGCCACTCCCACCCTGACAGGTCAAGCTGGGGAGGATGTGGATCCACATCCACACTGACAGGACCTGTTGTGGAGAACGTGGGGCCGCATCCACACTGACAGCCATCCAGCCCCCTTAGGACCGGCCTCTAGAGGTGAGGAGAAGTTGCCTGAGTGGGAACTGGAGAGGGGGTACGTGTTCTCAGGAACCCATGGAGGAATGGCGCACTGTGTATACACTGGGGTTTCCATCATTTTGTGTGTGGTGACGTGGCCACCCATGATGCAGTGCGTGGGGCTGTGGGGTTTCCTCTTTCCGGGCTCGGATGTGTGCTCTGTGTCCCACGTCCGTGTTTGTGCGGACACAGATTTGGTTCCTGGGGCTCCTCAGTCTACAGTCAGGGAGTGGCCACCTGGCTCAGTGCTCATCCTCCCCCCACCTCGGCCCTGCAGTGTCCTTCCCACATCCACACCTGTTTCAAGGTTGTTCTGGTGTCTGTAAGTTCGAGAGCAACAACACAGACTCTGTAGACAGCTTTGGGGAGAGTAGGTATTTTCCCAGTGTTGGTTCTTCCCTGAGCACAGTGTCTTCCTGTTTCCATGGGTCTCCCTCCATGTCTGTCATTGGTGTGTCATGGCAGTCAGTGGACAGATCGGTCCCCTCCTTGGTTCAGGGGACTCCTAGGTGTCTTGTTCCTTTGGATGCAATTGTAAATGAGATTGTTCTCCATAGCCTCGCTCTGATGGTTCCTTCTGAGCACATAGAAATGCAATTGATTTGTGTATATTGATTTTGTTTCTTGCAAGTTTCTTGAGTTTATTAGTTCTGTTCGTCTTAAACTCAAACAGCCAGTTATTTGACCAGTAAAATGGGTTTATTTGGGAAGAGCAGAGAATGGCAATCTGGGCTGAGCAAGCTATGGTCACATTACAGGCAAGTGCGAGAAGCAAAGGAGAGGACCATTATTTCATGGAGGAGGAGGAAGAAGTTGGGAGGGTTGCTTGGAAGGAAAGTTCCCTGGAGAAAGGCAGGGGTTCAAGGTGATGGAGGATTCTCACAGGTTGAGCTGTAGGGATGGTGATTTCTTGTAGGAGATGAACCTTCCCGCTTCCCCTGCAGGGCCTGGAAAGATTAGTCTCTCTTGTGGGGGATTGTAATGTGCAGTCTGCAATGGGCACTGAGTGCCTGTGGCCCCCTTCCAGCCTCCCCGTCTGGGGTCCCAAGTCCCAGTGAGGCTTCCCTTCCTGCTTTTTCATAGTTCTAACCAGGTTGTGGTGAAGCATTGTGGAGAATTGGAATTCCAAATCCCACTGCTTCTACTGCACCAGAGACATGGGGGGCCCCAATTTAAACCTCCCGTGAGTCTCCTGCTAACATGTGGCCTCCTACAAGGGCGAGCAGTTCACCTACGGTGGGTGAACTGGATCTGGGAGGGCTTGGCCTCCATCCCAAAATCTGATGTCCTCTCTGCTTCTGTGACATTGTGCTAACGTGGATGTTTGGAAGAGTCATTTACTCTGCGGTGATTTCAAATTTGCATTAACTTATCACAGCAGCACAAATACACTTCCTCTCCACACTTAGACTCCCCAGCTGTCGTTTCTTACCATGTTTGCCACTTCATATGGATTAATTCAGTGCATTTACCCCACAGAGGGACATTGTCCCGAGGAACCACCATGTAACCTGAAAGGAGGAGATCATTACAGGTTCCACCTTCTAAAAAAGACCACAGGCCCATTTCAACTGTGTCCACCTACCTGCCTGTCTGAAATGTCTTTTACCATCTTCCAGGCTTCTGCTTCTGGTTAGGGTGAGGGTTAGGCATTAGAGATTAGGAACTTTGTGTTCAGGGGGTTGATGAAAGTGAGGGATTGCTGGGATGGGCCCAGCTTTGCCTTCAGATTTCTCTTGCCCTGAAACCTTTCCAGTGTTCCAAATGGCAGCATTTTCTTCTGTGTTGGAGCCTTAGTCCTCAGGTATTGCTCAGCTGCCCGCACTCCCTGGGGCATTAGAGGCAGACCCTTGGGGATGGACCTCTCAGAACACAACCTAGTGTAAGTGTTAGGGCCTAGGGCACGGCAGGACCAAACTGAAGGTGCATCAGGGAGCTTCTGGGGGCTGAGATGAGGGCGTGGGTCAGGATGAGTGTCAGGATCTGGATTTGTGTCCAGGCGTGAACTAAATGTGGGTGTGGCCTCAGGTGGACATGCAGATTTCCAATTGGCACGGGTTCCTTCTGGGTGACAGGCACAGTCCTCTGGTATTGTTCATGTCTCCCCAACATGTGGGGCATACATCCCAGGACTCTGGGGACAAATCCCTGAAAACCCAGCCTACGGTTAAGATTAGGGCCTAGGGGCATGTTGGGCATGAACTTTCCAGGTTGTTTCTCTCTCTGCTTTGGGGGTGAGCTGACACAGAATGTCAGGGTGTCAGACTCCAGCTTTGTGTTTAGAGGGCCGCTGAACGTGGGATGGTGGCCTCAGATGGCCATGCAGATTTCTCCAGCACTGAATCTTTTCCAGAGTTCCAAGACCAAAATTTCCTTCAAAGAGGCAAGCTGAGTCCTCTGCTATTGCCCAGGTGTCTTGAACTCCTGCCCTTTGGGGCACGGCCACTGGGGATGGACTACTCAGAACCCAACCAAGGGTTAGGATTAGGGCTTAGAGGTATGGAAGGGCTGATCTAAAGGTGCTTTTGGGAGTGTTCTGAGGGGTGAGTTAAGGGCATGGGTCAGGGTGACTGCTGGCTCTGGGTTTGTATGCAGAGGTCCACTAAATATGGGCATGGCCTGAGGTAGGCATGCAGATTTCTCTTGCTCTGAATCCTTTCCGACGTTCCAAATGGCGGTTCCTTCTGGGTGGCAGGAGGAGTCCTCTTGTATTGATCAGGTGTCCACAATCCCTAAGGCTTGAAAGCCAGGCCTCTGGGGACAGAAGACTCAAGGCTAAACCTATTTTTAGGTTTAGGGCCTAGAGGCACAGCAGAGATATATACGCACACCTTGAAGCAAACTTTCCAGGGGGCTGAATTAGGACATGGGTCAGGGGATTGTCAGTCTCCCTGTTGTGTCCAGGGACCCCTGAATGTGGGATGGATTCAAGTGGGAATGCACATTTGTCCTGTTCTGAATCCTTTCCGGAGATCCAAATGGCAGGGTTTCCTTCTGGGTGACAGAGTCCTATGGCATTTTTTTAGGTATCCCCAATGTGTAGCACTTGGCTGCCAGGCCTCTGGGGACAGAAGCCTCAAATCCAATTGAGGGTTAGGGTGAGAACCTAGGGACATGGCAGACCAAGTCAGCCAGAGCTGAGGCAAACAACTTCCTGGGGGCTGCATTGAGGGCCTCGGTCAGGGTGAGTGGCTGGCTTCTAGATCAAGTGCAGGGGGCCAATAAACTTGGGGGTGGCCTCATGTGGGCATGCAGATTTCTCCTGCTCTGAATCCTTTCCACAGTTCCAAATGCCAAGATTTCTTTCTGGGTGCCAGGCGAGTCCTCTGGTATTTTTCAGATATCCCCAATGTGTAGAGCTCAGCTACCAGGCCTCTGGGGACAGAAGCCTCAAAGTCCAACCTAGGGCTGGGGTTAGGGCCTAGGGGCATGGCAGGTCTGATTTTCTGGTGCTGAGGTGAACTCCTTCCATAGTAAGTTTCCTTCCTATAAACATCAATTGGTACATGGAATTAGAATTTGTCAAAGAAATGTGTCGCTTATAAAATGTCTTATGGTTTTATAATACACCCAGACCTTTATTTATTTTGAAGTATAAGCTCCAATAAGGCAGGGATGTCTGGGTGGCTCAGTCACTTAAGCTTCTGCCTTCAGCTCAGGTCATGATCCTGGGGTCCTGGGATTGAGCCCCACATCAGGCTCCCTCTCCCTCTGCCCCTCCTCCCTGTTTGTGCTCTCCCAAATAAATAAATAAAACCTTGGAAAAAAAATGTTTTTTCAACAAGGCAATGTTAAAAGTGTGCTACCACATGTGTTTGTTTACCTTTACCTCAGGGTAACAGTTATGCAAAATATTTTAAAAATTTAAAAAGCTTTTTCAATTTTTTAACCAAGCTAATTTTATAGACTTTCTTTATTGTGGGGGGGGGGATGCAAACAGGGGGAGAGGCAGAGGGAAAGAGAATCTCAAGCCAACTTCCTGCTGAGCCCAGAGAATGAGTGAAGGCTTGTTCCCAGGACGCTGAGGTCACTATCCAAGCCAAAGATCACAACCTAAAACCAAGAGTCAGATACCCAACCGCCTGTGCCACCCAGGCACCCCTAAAAACGTATTTTTAAAGAAATCAAAATAAATATCCTACCTGTTGAATTCTTTATCCTTTCTGAATTCTGTCCATGTGTTGCTGGATTATTAAGCATATCTATCAATCAAAGGACTAGTATACGCTCTGGCTGAAGGAGCTGGGGGCACCTTTGGTGAATATTTAGGTGTGTCATAATCTTTCCCAATCTGTGAAAAATTCCTCATTAGTTTAATATTAGTGTAGCACAGCGATGGAATTACAGATTCCCAGGGCTATTTTAACATGCTTTAAATTCCACTTTCTTCCCAAAGTTCTCTTGGTTGGATAGCAATGCCCCATTCTGAATTATTTCATGAATGTCACATTTTTTTTTTAATTTTTGTCATTTTTTTAAAAAGATTTTATTTATTTGACAGAGATCACAAGTAGGCAGAGAGGCAGGCTTGAGAGAGAGGAAGGGAAGCAGGCTCCCTGCTGAGCAGAGAGCCCGATGTGGGACTCGATCCCAGGACCCTGAGATCATGACCTGAGCCGAAGGCAGCGGCCCAACCCACTGAGCCACCCAGGCGCCCTGTCATTTTTTTTTAAAGGCATTTACTTCCCCATTTCCTACCACCTCCTGGCAACCACTAATTTACTTTCTGTCTTTATGGATTTTAGGGTCCCTCCTAGGTGCTACTTAGCTACAGGATTCTATATTTATTTATTTTTAAAGAAGATTTTATTTATTTGAGAGATTGAGAGAACGAGGGGGAGGAGGGGCAGAGGGAGAAGCAGACTCCCTGAGAAACAGGACCCTGGACCCTGGGATCATGACCTGAGCTGACGGCCAATACTTAACCAACTGAGCCACCCAGGTACCCTAGAATTCTACGTTTAAAATAAATTTCAAAGATTTTGCATGCATTGCACCATTGATTTCTAACATCTTGTTTTGATAATAAGAAATCTGGTACCAGTGGAGTTCTCTTTTCTTTGTAAGTTATCTATTCCACCACCCCCCCACCCCGTAGGTATTTAGAATTTTCTCTCTATCCCCTTCTCCACCTTGACCACAGTCTATCAAGGTTTTCTTTTTTTTTTTTTCCAGTTTGTCCAGGCTCACTGTGGCTGCTGTGTTAAAGACTAGGCAGAGCCAACTACAGTAATCTCTGCAGACTATAGTCAGGGCACTGGAGGGTTGAGAAGTGGCTGGACTTGGATATGCTTTCAAGGTGGAAACAAAAGGGTATGCCTAGGGGTTGGCTGGGATGGGCAGGGAGGAGGGAAGGAGTGGGGAGAGAGGGAAGGAGTGGGGAGAGAGAGATGGAGTGGGGAGAGAGAGGGAGAGAGTTCACACTTGTGCCCAAGCTACTGAAAGGATGGAGCTGCCATCTTCTGGATGGGGAAGACTAGAGAAGACCATTTAGAGTGAGAAAATCAGTCATCTGGTTTTAGACAAGTTGAATTTGAGATCCCCATTAGATATCTGGTGATGATTTTGAGAAGGCAATTGGGTATCTCCACCTAACATTATGTTTACATCCTCTCTCCGTTTTCATTCTGTGTTTTGGGAGAGCTCTTTGGATTAATTTCCCAAGCAGTTCCATTCTGTTAATGAGCCCATCCACTGGTGTGGGGGTTTTCTTGTTTATGTTCTTTGTGGAAGAGGGAAAAATTTAAAAAGCTATTTTAGAAAAATTTCAAGCATATATAGGAGAAAGAACAGCACAATAAATCTCCCTGTATGCAACACCCAGCTTCAACAATTACGAATTCATGGCCAGTATTGTTTCATATATGCTATACCTATCTTCCCCTGTGCCTGGAATACGCTGAAGCAAATCCCAGACATTTCAATTGTGAATAATAATCCATTTTTAATTTCTAAAATCTTAATTGAGTTTCCCCTGGGGATGTAGTATCTTTTCATTTCTTTCTAAAGATTTCTCCTCTGCCCTACTGCCTCTGTTGCCTCCAATATTGGTTACTCTTGTTTTTTTCTTTCAGTGTGTCTTTTCATGATACTGATTTTCCTCACTTGTTCAGGAATTCCTGGTTTTCTGTCCATCTCTGTATTGTCCAGCATTCCCTATTCTTCTATTTATTCTAGTCTGTATTTTGTCTATCCTTGTTGCCACAGACTACCCACAGTGAGGTGGGGACAGGGAAGACACAGCCAGGAGGGGGTCTGGCCTCTTCTGTGGAAACACACATTTTCGGCCAGTGGACAAAAGCCCCTGTTGCCTACTGGTTAGTACAAGTGGGACACAGGTTAGAAACCAACCAGCTTAGAGGATGCAAATTGTCTAGAACTGACCACCTACTGGAACACCATATGCCATTCTCCACCTCCTCTGATACCCGCTGGCTTTTAGCTCACTGCTCTGCCCTCTGCTGCAGTCTTGCCCTGCATGTGCTCAAGGCCAAGATTTTCTTCTCTTGATTCTCCACACACAGATCTTGCCTTTCTCTCTTTGAGACTCCTTCAGTGTTTCTGGCCCACTGGCAGCACCTTCCCTTATTCCCTATGCAGTTTTGGATCTATCCTGTGGGTTGTCAACTGGCCTTTAGCATCTTTGCTTTCGTTTCAGAGGTTAGGGTGGACCCATGTGTATAAACTATGCACAGAATCCAAATTTCCATGTTTGTGAAAAGTAATAAAGCTGAGGCTCAAGGAATGGCAAACTGCAACGCCTGGTTTCATTACCTTGAATACTTCAGTGGCTATTTTTTTCTGAAATGCCTTATGTTGTGATGAATGCCACCAGAGTTTTGCTAATTATTCCCTAAGGCACCTACGCCTCCTTCACTGGGAATAAACTTACAAAGTTGAATCATTACAATTAAAAACAGCAACAATAACACTTCTAAAGCAAAGATAATAAGACTGAATACAGCACTACACAGTGCTGAGCACTGCACAGCTAATGTCAAATCTGAAGGTAAGGGGGTCAGAGTGAGACAAGGGAGGATCTAGAACAGGGGAGTACCTGTGACAGCCACCACCAAAGGCCTTCATCCTTCATGCAAATTTGGCCCAAGTCCTATCAGTAAATACACAACTGAAATCTCACAGAGAACCCATCCCTGCCATGCTGCTTCTCTTAATCATCAGTGAAGGCTGGGGCATCCTGGACATGGGGTCAGAACTTGGGGTCCTTATTTCCTCAATCATATTCATGATCTTCTCGGGCACATTGGCAGCATCACCACAGGTTTCCTGCCACCAGGGCAGCTTGGAATTGAGTAATTCTGCAGACTGTGAATCAGAGAGAAACACAACAAAACACAAACATGTACTGTTCAAAGAGCTGAGAAAAGTCACGTCAAATATTAGTGGTAATGTTTTACTGACTTACCAACCAGAAGTGTGAGAGCTCTGTGTCAAATTCAATGAGCACTTAGCCATCTATGAGCTGTGTTATTTGTGTTGTGTTGAGCTGTTTATTTGCTGCAAGAGCTGTGGGCCCCTGTTCTACATGAGCTTGCCCTCTCCCTCAGTGTGAGGGCAGAGTTGAAGACTGATGCAGAAAAAGCTAAACATGAAAAGGGAAGGGCTGAGCAATCTTATTAAGCCCTGTTTTCCCGAGTGGTCCCAGAAATGCCAATCAGTGCTTTCTTCCTCCCACTCCTAACAGAGTGCAAAACCCTTGCCCCAAACAACCTATGGCCTCAGACTATAGCCCTGACATGCCGACTGCTTGGGCCTACTTTGTCCAAGAAGCCACTGAAAGGACTGGGATGCTGGAGTCAGAAAAAGGGAAGGCATAGAAGTGATTTTCAGAAAGGTGAAGAGACTTCCAGTGGAGAAAAGAAGTGGACTTCCTTCATGCTAAAAAGCATAACTAGGATCCAAGGTTAAGCGTAAGAGTCTGCCACCAACTAGAGCTCTCTGCAAATAGGCCAGATTGCCTTGTGACATAATGAGTACCCCATCACTGGCAAGGCTAGGCCACAGGAAGAGCTTCAGGGTCACTTGACTTATGACCCTGCCCCAGCAGGATACCCTCATCATGGAAACAGACACTGCTGAACTAAGTACAAAGTGATCCTCTAATACTGCAATTCTTTCCTTTCCTGTAACAATGTTAGATCTTAGGGCTTTAGATTTAGTAGATGAATGGTCCTTCAAGTTGCAAAAACTTTATGGAATGTGTAACATATGACCTATGCACACATATAAGGCCAAGTTGTTCCCCCTGAAAAAGAGCAAGTTGCCTTATTTTCAAGCTCTTACAAAGCTTCTACCATGGAGCACTCTCTAAATTATTATAAATAACAATGAATATTTGACTTCACTCAATGCTAGTTTTAGATGCTTATACAGGCCCAATAAAATTTATAATAAAAAAAAAAGGAAAGGAAAGTTAACATATATTTTGTAATGATTCCTAGAGGTAAAACCTCACACCTATGTGTGCTGGAAGGAGGTCAGTAAAGCCAGCTCCATAGGTGATGAGATCACGAGGTAACACCTTGAAGAGGAATGAAAAAGGAACCACAACTGCCCTGATATTGTGAATGGGTCTGTGGCTGGGACAGAACTTCCAGGGATACCTCTCTGAAGGAATCCCAAGGTGAACACTCAAACTACCCAGGTCGGGTGGGCCTGGGACCCACTGGGACTCATCCCATGGCTCTGGTGAAGGCACTGAGCTGAGGATGCATCAGAAAGAGTCTGAGAGGGGCGCCTGGGTGGCTCAGTGGGTTAAGCTGCTGCCTTCGGCTCAGGTCATGATCTTGGGGTCCTGGGATCGAGCCCCGCATCGGGCTCTCTGCTCGACGGGGAGCCTGCTTCCTTCTCTCTCTCTCTGCCTGCCTCTCTGCCTGCTTGTGATCTCTCTCTGTCAAATAAATAAATAAAATCTTTAAAAAAAAAAAAAAGAGTCTGAGAAAAGCTCAGAGGCAAGAAAAGAAAAAAAGTACTGATTCTTGATCATTAAGCATTATTTAATGAAAGATTTTAAATATGGATATACTACTAAATCTTATAAGCAATATTTAACCATTTCATCCCCATTTCTGAAAGTTTACATAACCAAGTGGGCCAAGAGGTGTTTCTCTGGCATCTCTTCTCATCCGCAAACTAGGCCCACTGATTTATATTGAGGCACATGTGGAATTTGAGGCATTCCAAGGGCATTTGAATATGAAATTGAATTATTAATAATAACAAAACACTATCACAAACCCACCTGTAAATGATAATAATGTAAGTGATTTGCAAAGCTACAGTGTTTGTCGACCAGAAAGCAGAAGCGCCTTTTCTCTTCAAGTAGAGCTTCTTTGCAACCATCTGCAATAAATTTCTGGATTTCGCTCTGGCGAGATGTAATGGTTTCTATATACTAGGAAAATAAATAATAATTATACAAGTACGTCATGAGGAATGAAAGCTGAACAGCCAAACATTTATCTTGTACCGTCTTTACACTTAACAAAATTGTAAACTGACCTGAGCAGGTATCATCATTCTCATTAAGATCCCTGACTCATGTGTGGAAGGATGTTGCCAAAGGGCCTTACATTCTGAGCAGGGCAATCTGCACAAAATATTACTTCATACTTCAGGGATAAGATTGTGTTCTACTGGAAAATCAAGGGCTTTGAAACCAGAAAGTTCAAATTTAAACCCTAGTTCTAATTAACAACTATGTGACTTGGCCTAAGCCCCATTTTTTTCATCTGTAACATGGGAGAGTAATGCTAATCATGAAACATCTCTTACCAATACTCCTCGCCACCCCCGAATCAGGAGAAAATGCCAGTGTTTTTAGGAGGCTACTAATTATTCTTAACTCTGGAAAACTCTGTAGCCTTCAGCTCACACCACGTCAAAAATGCTCCTTTTTAACCTCAACAGCAGCACAGCAGTGAGTGGATGTATAGTGTAGGTTGACTGAGCTAAGTAAGCAGCCCTGTAAATTGTACAAATTGTCAACAACAAAGTAAAGTAGTGCTGAAAAGTTCACCTCAATTTCTCTGTGTTTGTATCTGAGTGCATTTCATCGTCCTTGACTTTTCCTTCTGATCTTCAACTCAGCTTGAGATTTCTGTTTGGCATCTTTTGAGAGTTGCCTGTAAGTTAAACGTTGTGCTGATATGAGTGCAGCACCATCCCAGCTGTTGGGCAGCTACACTGGCTAACATTTCCACTGGGCGTCGCCTTGCACACCCTCACCTCACACTGCTCCCTCCCTTCAACATGTAGCTTTGTCTGACCTAAATTCCCCTGTTCATACAAGGGGCTACTGACCCCAAGGGCAGCTCTTAGAAGACAAGAATGTCTTGTCTTTTATTCCTTGTTTTCTCAAATTTTTTTAGGACACTGAGTGTTAAGTGCTTTGGTGAATAAATAAATAATATTAACTCACATGCTCCTGGTTTTATGACTTATAATTTTTAAAAAAAGAATGAACAAGCACAAGCACTTCAGATTATTTTGGGCGCTGTGTAGCGTGTTTTGGGAGCTTCACAGTCCTGGGTTAGAATTCTGGTGAAATCCTTCACTTCCTATGTGATCTAAGCAACTACTTAATTTCTCTAAAATTCATGTTTTCCCTTTAATCTGTACAGTGAGGATAAGAGTAGCTACATTATGGAGTTTCTGTAGGGATAAAGATCTCATAATGTATGGAAAATGCTTGCCATTACATCCCCCTCAGCTATTGTCCATGGTCCTGCCGCCTTCCTCCAGAGTATACAGAGCACACGCACACAGAAGCAGTGGGGTGATTTCAGGGTAACTACACTGCTTACTACCATGTGGGGTCTTGGTGAGAAGGGGACTTTGAATGCCAAGGAAAACAGCTATTTCATAGCATATAAGGAGATGGCAAGAGCCATGTGACAGAGCTGGAGGGTCAGGCAGAAGGAGAAAACTGCTGGAGTCATCAATACCAGGTGACAGGCAAGGGACACGATACAGGAGCAGTCTCTGACGAATGGACCTGGGGGTCCCAGGGAGACCTAGGTGATGTTCTCCCACCCACGTCTCACATCCTGAAGTGCTGGTTTGTGAAAGCAACAGCTGCACTCATACAGATGTAGATGTTGTCCCCATATACATGTTCTTTGAAAACAATGCTTTGGAGAAGAAGGAGGATTCCTTGCAATATTTTCCTCTCTGCTTTTTAATAAAGATCTCAGGTGTTAAAGCAAACAGGGCACCCAGCTCCAAGAGACCTTTTCAGTTTCATGCACCTGTGTCTATACTCAACACTAAGCTCTGTCCATGTTCTCTGCTGCTGGATAAACAGTGAGAGAAAGTTCTCCTCTGGCTCAGAGATCAGGCAAGTGCAGCCTCCCGGAACACTAGGCCCCTATGCCCATACCCACCTCCAACCATGGAGGTAGAGAAAACCGTGTACTCATATTCATGTATTTTCCATCAAGTTCCATCTTCTTCTCCAGCTCATGTATAATCTCTTTGTGGAATTTTTTAAACTGTTAACAAAGGGGATTAAAAACTCATACCACATTTGAGACATTAAGCAACATGAAGTTTAGAAATAAAATACATTTTATTTTTATAAGTACATGAATAGTTTTTAAACATTTTCATCAAGACTCTCATTGAGTTTCTTGTGGGTACTTAAAATCTCTATGAGAACATGGCCTGTGAATAAAACCACATGTTAAGGGGAAAAGTCACTGTGTGGATTTTGTAAAGATATTAAATAAAGTAAAATAATGGAATGAAGCACAATCTACCACTGCCCTCTGGTGCCTGGAAGCATCAGGCCCTGTGGCATGTCGGAAACACGGACTGTGTGCCTGTGGCAGGGTTGGTGCCAGAGGGGCACAGGCCCTAGGAAAGTTACTCTACAACACCCTTGATCCAAAGAATGCCAACTTTGTCTTCAAATTCACATCATGCTTTCTATATTTTCCCTAAGCTGAATCTTATTTATCTGATTTAATTTTTAAATTATGCAAGATTATCATGGTCATTATTGTAACTATAAGAACAAATGACTTATTTTTATCTAATCCCCAAAATAATCTGATTATTTGTCAGGCATAAAAGATAAAGGTTACTTTTTCTCATATTAGTTCTTATATCATTTTGGAAAATATTAATACCATGGGAAAATGCAGCAAGGACAGTGCTCTGCCTCACATCTCCAGGGACTACATCCATTCTTTGAAACAAGTACAGCCACATGGAAAATGTTCCAGAACTGAGCATTACTCCAAAAGTAGCAAGACAACCACTAGATTGCAAAGTACCCCTCTTGCAGTTTGAGGCAGTGTGATGCATCTCTGCTACTAAACTCTGATAAAATGAACAAGAGCCTCTCCCTGTTCACTTACCTGTAGGAACCAAACAAGTCTGATATCTAAGAACTGGAAAAAAACAGAATAATTTTGAACAACCACCAGACCATAGTAAAAAATAACAAAATATGTTCGGTAGATCTTCCCATAGTTGGTAGGAATTCCTTGGAAAAACTGAAAGGCTGCAGATGAAGGAGAACTAAAATTAAGACTGTGGTAGATACAGAGAAAGAAAGAATACCAATGAGACTATGACTTCAGCTATCACCTTTACACAAATGATACTACAGTGCCCTGTTTTAGAAAGTATTAGGACGTGATTCTCGGGGCGCCTGGGTGGCTCAGTTGTTAAGCGTCTGCCTTCAGTTCAGGTCATGATCCCAGGGTCTTAGGATCGAGCCCTGTATCGGTCTTCCTGCTCGTCGGGAAGCCTACTTCCTCTCCTACTCCCCCTGCCTGTGTTCCTCCTCTCACTCTCTGTCAAATAAATATAAATCTAAAAAAAAATAATAATAAAGACATGTGACTCTCAAATGGCCACTCTAGTCCCCCTACTCCATCTTCAGACTAAGAAATTCAGCCCCTTCCTGAACATGTCCAACTGGATGTCTCATTAGGTAACTCACATTCAACAAGTCTAAAAGTGAATTCACCCCAGAGTCTCCAATCCCAGCTCTTGGCTGCTAGCTCACAGCCAGTCACATGGGATTGACACTTTACCCATATGTCACACTCAATGACAAAGACTCATTCCCTTGTGCATATGTGTCATCACTTAGGCCAGCCTATAGGGTGAAATCACTTCCCCTTACTCACCTTGGTTCCTTGGGCAACAAATGTGCCAGCCCTTCCCTCCCTGGGAGAGAATGTATGTGGGAATGACTTGTGACATCTCTGTGGGCCCAATCATCTGTTCCATGAGGGGTGGGGGAAGAACATCCCTAGTCTGCCCCCCACCAATGCATTCAAACCTACCACTTGGACCTCTTAGGTCTTGCCCCTCAAGCTCTTATCATTTCTCTTGACTCCCAGCTTGTACTCTTCCAAACCCTCTTCCTCAGAGGTGCCAGGGATCCCTGAAAATCAACTATACCAGATCATTCCCCCAGCCTCCATAGTGTCCAAGATAAACCCAACTCCTCAGCATAAAGCCCACTGTGAACAATGCTGCTTAAAATAACCACGGCATGGTGGGGACAGAGACTATCCTCATGAGGTTATATAATTATAGATACAGTATAGAGTTGGGAATTCAAGTCCCACCAAGTGAGAAAGGCTTGGTAAATACCACAGGCTTCCCACTGACATCCAGTAGGGACATGCATTGGGAGTAAGACTAAATCATAGGACTAAGGGCAATACCAAAATAGAAACACCAGAAAAAATCTACAATCAAGCCTCTACAAATCAGAGTTATCCACCAGTAATTTAACTACCTACCAGAATAAAACATCACAATATTAAGAGGAAGATACCAAGTCTCTACACATTTTATCACAATATTCAGCATAGGAAAAAAAAATCAGGAGAGAGGGTGAATGGCAAACCTACAAACTCTGAACTTTTAGTGGTTTTTTTTTATTCCAAAATATATTATTTTATAATTATAATAATAAAAATAAAAATTTAATAAAAATTTATTTAATATAATTTGTAATATAGTATAAATTGTGTAGTATAAGTTGATATAATTTTTTTCCTTTTATAACTGGTTCACTTAGTACCATGTCCTCAAGTTTCATCCATTTTACAGAATGTGTCAGAATTTCCTTTCTTTTTAAAACTGAATAATATCCCATGTATGGATATTCCACATTTTATTTATCCATTCATCACTTGGGAAAAAAATGTTGATGGACACCTGGGTTCTTTCCACCTCTTGGCTATTGTGAGTAATGCTGCTATAAAAACATGGGTGTGCAGATATCTCTTCAGGACTTTCTTTTTATTTTTATTTATTTATATTTTGTTAGAGATTTTATTTACTTTTTTGACACAGAGGGAGAGACAGAGAGAGCAAGAGCACAAGCAGGGAGAAGGGGCAGAGGGAGAGGGAGAAGCAGACTCCTTACTGAGCAGGGAGCCCAATGAGGGACTACATCCCAGGACCCTGAGATCATGACCTGAGCGGAAGGCAGATGCTTAAACCACTGAGCCACCCAGGCACCCAAGACTTTCTTTTTATTTTTTTGAATTTAAGTATAATTAATATACAGTGTTACATTAAATTGATAAAAATTTTAAATAATTCCAGAACTATTTTAGATCTATCATAGATTGAGAAAATATATAAATATGTTAAGGTTATTGGGAGCCAATGTTCACACACATATCTAAAATATGTAAGTGTATATGCTTATTTTTATATGTCCAAGTGTATATATGCATATATATGTATATACATAGGTCTGTTTTTGTGTATATTTATGTTTATAAAATATACTATATATGTGTATATTTCCTAGCTCTGTTTGCTGGAAAGACCAAGATGATACCTCAATAGCAATGAGCACACCTAATATTAAAATTTTACCTTCTAATATCATTCCCCACTATAAAAGGAAGTATCATTCCTCAGAAAAAAATGGCCATTGATTCCACAACTGAGAAGAGACAAGATGAGCCTGGAACATACTATTATGCAAGAAAGTGAGGAAGTATACAAGAATAAATGAATGAATGAATGAGTGAACAAAGGGATGAGAGTGAGCCTGAAGGAGCTCCTACTGGCCAAATACAGGAAAGTTTGAGCACCAAAGTAATTAAGACAGTAATAAGTTACAAAACATTGAAAAAAATCTTGGAATCCACAGGTCTACAACAATAAATAGATAAAGAGGCAAGAAAGCAGGGTTCCTGCTAAAAGTAAAATGCCAAGTGCCAACTGGTAAACATGGAGGGAGCGTTAAGTATTAGAAAATCATCACTCAGCAACAAGCAAGCACTGGCCCCAGGCAAAATTCATTAATAGATACTAAATCTAAGGAACAAATATTAATGAGGAATAAGATATTTGCATAGTCTGAAAATGTTCCCCCCTAGATAGCTTATTAGTAGCAGTAGTAGAAAAAAAATATTAACTTTACAGTGGAGAAATGAGACAAACTCTTCACTGGGCAATCAAAATTAGTGTCACAAATGAGAGGCAGATGAACACTTTATGCCCAGATTTGATACTACAGAACACAAAATGACTTAGCATTCTAGCCAAGAATGTACCACCTAGATCTAATCACAAAGACATGGCATTTCAGAGGTAAGATCTTGTGTTCCTGATCATTCATCCCCTTTTAGGGTTTCTGATACAGGTTCTTTTCCTACCAATTCTTCAGCCAGTATTAAATTTATTTATTTATTTATTTTTGAAGAAGAATAAAATGATTTCATCTTCCTTTGGTGGTCAATCCCGTGCTGGTTGATGAAGAAGTATGTTGAATTCTCTGAGCCAAACAGAAGTTGTAGCTACAAACCTAAACATTTCTTCCCTCTTGGAGAGGAGTGGAGTCCCTTTAGACACAGAACAAATGAACGTTTATATATTGGTCTAGAATAGATTGCTCAAAGGACGTTGTTCTTTTGTAATAAAGGGCCAGGAGCTACCGTTGACCTCTCAGCAACAGAACACAAGATGTTTAGGAAGAAGAACTCGTGAAGATGAAAGGCTGGTCAAGGAGGCTGGAAAAGAATGGGGTACTGTGAAAGCAAAAAGACTGGAAGCATTTTCAGATAGTGGGGTGCTCTGGACTGTAATCACCCACAGACAACTCAAGGGGAACAAAGATTTGGGCAAAGGTCAGAGCATCTGCAGAAGATGGAATGGTTTCAGACAAGCCTCTGGTAAGTTCCTTCACCTCCTCTCTCCAGGTAACCTCAAGGAGCATTTGTACTCTCAGCTGTATGGTGATAACTAGAATATCTACTTCACAGGGTTGGTGAGTATAGTGCCTTCCTGTGCTCTGAAGAGAAATAGTGGCTGATAAGGTGTGTGCATCCAGACATGAGTAGCAAATCTGTTCAATAAAGCATGATATCCAACAACAGACCCATATGGCTTTCTTTTTGGGTGAGTACTTGTTTTCTGGAAATAAAGTCCACATGCAAGGCATCAACTTAGAACTAGTTACCGCTTTTGTTTCTATATGTGTGTGTGTGTGTGTGTGTGTGTGTGTGTGTGTGTGTGTGTGTGTACATACACACCCCTATATATTCTTTCAAATACTTTAATATGCTTAAAATGTTTCAGACTTAAACATCTTAAATTTAAATTAACTCAAATTAAAACTTACCAAAAAAGACAAATGGACACCTACCTCTCCTAAACTGAGCTCAGTGCTCCTCGT